AATATGGGGTTCATGTTCATATGGCTCTTCGTTCCATGTGTCCTTCATATTGTCATCTCATTTGTATAGTTCTGTGTATTGCATCTTTTTATTCCTTCCTGGTATTGAATTATGTTATTTTTATTGTTATAGGGTGTCCTGGTCCTTGGTTTGAACTTTCCCTTGATTTCTCGAATCTCGTGGAACAGACCTCTCATTCTTCCCTTTTTGTTGTTGTCTGCTATTTTTCTACATTTGTCATTGTAGTAATTTTCCTTATTTTTGCACACTGGCCATTGTACTGTTGCATTCATGGTTCCTATTATTCCCATTATTCCTATCTCCTTTTTGTTTTGTTTCTCTTCTTTCCTTTATTGCTTGTAGCATTTTATCTGTCATCCATGGTTTCTTCACTTTCCTTTTTTCTGTTGGAAATGTCTTAATGCATTCTTCTTTTATTATGTCCCTGGCTTCAGACCAAAGCTCTTCCAGTTCATGATCTGTTATTCTTAGTACTGCAAATCTGTTCCTTATAATGTCAATGAATTCTGTGGAAATGTTGTTTAAATCATATTTTGGTATAATGACTGGTTTTGTTCTCTTCTTGAGTTTTAATTTTGTTTTTGAAATGAGTAGTTTGTGATCTGTGTCACAATCAGCAACTGGTCAAGTCTTGGCCACCAGTATGGAGCTTCGCCATCTTTTACTTCCAGTTATGTAATCTATTTGGTTTTTGTGTTGGCCATCTGGTGATTTCCTTGTGTATAACCTTTTCTCTGGTTCTTTGAAAAAAATGTGTTCACAATGAATATGTTGTTGGCTTCACAAAAATATATCAGACACTCACCTGCTTTATTCCTTTTGCCTAATCCAAATCTGCCTACTGTTCTTGATTCTTCTTTGCTTCCAACCTTTGCATTCAAATCTCCAGTGATCAGCCTGACATCCTGTGTTGATGTGTTGTCAATTTCTTTTTGTACTCCTTTGTAAAATCTATTAATTTCTTCTTGTTCTGCCTCAGCGGTTGGTGCATATACTTGAATTATGGTGATATTCATAGGTTTCCCATGGAGCCTTATTGAGATGATTCAGTCTGATTTTGCATTGTATCCTCTGGCTGCTTTTGCAACAGCTTTTCTTAGTATGAAAGCCACCCCATTTCTTCTTGTCTTTTCATTCCCTGAGTAGAACACTGTGTGGTTGTCTGATTCAAAGTGGCCCATTCCTGTCCATTTTAACTAACTCACCCCAGTACTGCTATGTTCATGCACTGCATTTCACTATGTCTAGCCTCCTTGGCTCATGCTTCTAACATTCCATGTCCCTATTTTATGTGTGGTGCTGCTTCTGATGAGGTCTTTCTGAGGACCTTATCCCACGGGGCCAAAAGCAGCAAGAATCGGCTAACA